TCGATGTAGAGAGTAAATACAACCGAAAAGCATGCGGTTAACAGTAGAATAAAGCACTCAAAATTCTTAATGAAATCAATGTATTTTAATTCAGAATATATTTTCCCTTCAGATTCTATATACTTTAGACTTTGCTTCTCGGTCTCAGTAATTTAATAATTATCTTATTGTGTAATTGAATTATCAGCAGTCATTTCATTTAAGGTATTAGGAATTCAATTATTTGATTGTATAATGCCAACAAAGACTACCCCACTAAAGAATACAAATGTGCCTACATAACCAACATATTCATATAAGAAGCTAGCGATTGCTGGACCAAGAATACCTCCAACTCCAACAGCCATTTCAACATAACCAATATAGGTATCTTTATCATGATTCATCTCGAAGGTAGCGAATGAGTAAGCACAAATCTAAATAACTGCGCTGGCAACACCTTGAATAACTCTGAAGTTTAAGCTCAATATAAAAAAGGTCAAATACTAAGTTGATCCTAGAAGATCTAAGGATGTAAATGCTAAAGTAGCAATAAAAAGTTAGATGCTTGAATTGATTGTCAGGTTCTTACGCTTCACTCTGCCTATTTACAATCCAAGAACTATGGACGCTATCAAGTTAGCTACTTCGTATATTGCGAGTATAATTCCAAAATGAGTTGAGCCTAATTGCGGAAAGCTAGTCGCCATATAAATCGGGTAAAAGGATGTCATACTATTATATAATATACTGGCGAATGCAACAGTAATCATCAATGGTAATGCAGATTTTTGTAGTTACAATAGCCTTTACTCAGGTGATTGTTCAGCTTTGAGAAGATGCTCCTTGATAAATAATTCTTTCTCTTGAACAATCATATTTGTAAAAATACTATATAGACAATAGATTTAATATATTTAATATTGTGGGAAAACGAGATGAGAAATTTCAAAATAAATTAAAAATGATTTATTATACTTTACTACCTATTAAAATAGCTGTTAAATATTAATTTACATTGATAAGTTGCAATAATTAAACGCATGGTAATAAATTTAATATTTT